ACAAGTGAAAGAAAGACAGGCTAATTCGTGAAACGGTGTCGGAGGCATCATAGAAAGAGGCTCGAAGGAGAGTCACGCCCTCCTCGTTACCCGTCTACCTCTCTCCACCACCCCGCTTTTTCCTTTTGGCGATAATATCTCGGCAAATACCGAGCCATGGAACCCTTTAGTCGCGGTCCAAGCTGCCGCCTGTGCGCGTAATGCCCTAAAATTAAACAAGCCACGGCGCCGAGGGCGACGACGGCCATCCAAGTACTCTCTCTCTCTCTCTCTCTCTCTCTCTCTCTCTCTCTTTTTCTCTCTTTTCCACTCTTTTCTTTACCTCCACCAAAGAAGGAGAGTCCAGCTCTCGTCTTTACCTCGTCGTACCATCCTTCCTTCTTCTCTCTTATCATTACGTCAAATTTGTTAATCTTTTCAACATTCAGTATTACCCATTTAAAATCTATTCTAAGAATTTCGATTCAATCGGGATTTCTATTCGAGAGAATAAAGAAAAGCATCGTTCTAGTTTGCACACCTGGCAGGTCATACGACTCATTATCTCACATATTCAACGGAGAACAATGATCAACCGTTACGTTGTAACAAAAGAAAATGCAAGAAATTCCAAAGAAATCCTATCGTCAAAAGCTTTACGAGATTCTTTTCTTTAACTATTTGAAGCATCACTTTTGAGTATCTCACTATGTGTTTACTTAAACGCGTAGGACGAATTATCTATTTCAATAAATATCTGTTATGCGTGGAGAATGAAATCTAAGGAAAGTGATAAAATAAATAGCAAACATTGAATTGCATTTTACATGGATTAGAAATATTATTGAGATGTCGATAAATTTACAACTCGTTTCAACGTTGAAAAGATTTAATATTTTCATTAAACGACGATTTAGACGAGATCATATTAAAGGATCAAACATATCACGAGGACTATCGTTTGCACGACTAAAAGATTCACACCCTAACCTTTGAGATAAAATCTCCGACGTATTGTCACTCTTGTCCTGATACCTGATACGAATAGGGTTCTTCTTCGTGAAGATCCCGTGGGATCCGTACGTTCGAAATCCGTTCCTCGATTTTACCTTGCCAACTCATTCTTCTTAAGGGACACTTAAGAAGATCAGGTCAAATTATTCTAATTTCGTAATTTTTATATTTTCTAAGTATCAACCATAAAACTGGAGTCTAACTCGAAAAATCTATCAATTAAATGATATAAAGATGTCAAGTCTTTACCTCGAAAGATTCCAATTTTCTTGATGATTTTGTCGAACGATCGTACGTCATACCTTTTACTTTATCTCAGTACGTTAATAGTCACTGTTTAACTGCCCATTAACTTTATTTCGCGTAACTCCAACCAAATGAGTAGGCCGACGTAAGAAACCGAAGGATTTTATGTCCGCGGAACTGATCCTATACACGTTTATAATATACCTGTGTTCGTGTGTAATGTATATAAAGCCTTCGGGACACCAGGTACGCGTCATGGAGTTAACGGCTTACCGGAACAAACCAGAAGCGATAAATCAGAATCATTAGGGAATTGGCCGCGCCTTTCACGATTCCTAGTCGCTTCTTGCATCCGTCGCGAGATTTACGTCTACCATAAAAATCTATATCGCATCTTGTAACCCTCTCTCTCTCTCTCTCTCTCTCTCTCTCACACACATATGTTGCTACTACACCTTCTTTCTTCATCTTCGTTCACTCGTCTACTCTAACTCTGTCATTTTCTATCTCTTTTTTCGGTTAGCGATCACCCTTTTTTTATGCCCTATCAAATGTGAAATTACAAACTGGTAATCGGAAAGGAACGTCTTCTTCTATTTCTTTCGGCAAGTTCTCGCCTTTAATGTCGTCCCTACTTTCTCTTCTGCGATTTGACAAAAGAAATGGAATAGAACGACGAATGTTAAATTATTCTCCATTATAACTAGATATAAAAGGATTTATTTATTAAATGACAATTATTTTCTTTGAAAAAAAGGACTTGTCCTCGATCAAATTATTAAAAATCGTCTCAGGAAATAGACGGAAGAACGTGCTTATTGAAATAAGTTTGAAAAATCCTTCAACGAGATATCGTTCAAAGCATTAGACATCGAAACGCGACGCGAGAAGATTTCGCTCGGTGGACGTCTCGACGAAGCTCCATAAAAGTTGTGAAACAAGAAGGAGTAGTAATTTCCATACAACGCGTCTGGCATATAACGTTTCACCTTGTAAGAAGGCGAAGCGTACTCTGCGATGAATTGAAATCGAGAGAACCGAGAAAGAAAGAGAAAACCACCCTTTATCGTATATAATGTAAACGCATATACACAATAACACAATAGTATAAGTAAAATATACGTATATTTAATTTTATATCTATTCGCACAAAGAATATGAACGTATCGATCGACACTTCTGAAGTTCGTATAAAATCCAATGACTTCGGAACAAAGAAGGATTTTCAAAGATAAAAGAAACGAAAAAGTGTTGAAAGAAATTCAATTTTATTCCCACGTAGTACGTTTATCGACGTCGATCATGAGAATTCTCATCGGTTACTACTACGTATCGAGAATTCTCCCTCACGATTTTCCTTATTTTTTCTTTTTTTTTCTTTTTCTTTCTTTTTCTTTTTTTTTTTTTGGGTTCTCTTTTTTTTCTTTGTCTTTCCTCATTTCTTTTTTTTTTTTTTTCGATGACCGCTACCGTGACGCCACCTTTTCGTAAGGTCCACCGTTCTCACGAAGAAAGTAACCACGCGATGCTCGAAGAAGAAAGTACTATGGTATGGTTCCGTTCGATTCCATTCCCACTTCGTATTTACTTTCTAGGCACGAACATAAATTAGTAGTACGTGCCACGCGTGTAACGAATACTCGGATACCGATTGAAAAGATTAGAAAGACAGACAGACAGACGAAGGGAGAAAAGAGATGATGAAAAAAAAAAGAGAGGAGAGAGAGAGAAAGATTATGACGATAGGATGAAACGTAGTCTACAATTTTCTTCGCTCCTTCTCGATATACATACTTTAATACAGGCCAGAATATTTGTTTTATTTAAAATAAATTCTAAATTAGATTAAAGGACAAGCAAGTATAACTTTTGATACTTAAGTATTATTTCTGTATCAAAATATTATAGTATTCGTTATAATAAAATATTAAATATTGTTCTCGCGTTGTATATTGAAGAAAAAAAATTGAATGAATCCATTGTACTCGTCTTTTATATATATATATAAAGTTCATGGATTTCCATTAAAATGCATCACCCTGTATATCGTTTGTAGCCCGATCGAAGAGGGTGCGCCATCGAAAACATCCAAGGAGGGAAAATCTTTTCCGTCCCTTTTCTAAGGCACCATAGCCACGTCGGGAATGCTTGACATTTGACGCGCTACCGTGCGCGGATGTAATAGTGATCGTTCTCCTGTTTCTTTCGTTGATAAATAAGTTTCCTTTCGATACGTTATTCGTCGCGCACAAACTCGCGTCCTCGCCAGTTCTCCTGATTTACGATCCAAGAGATCGAGCAAACTCACCCGTCTTGTTTCTTTTCAAACTGTCGGTCTCTCGATCGTTGCCACGATCGTTTTTCAATCTTCTTAGCGTGACTGGCAAACTTACCTCCTCTATGAATTCAACTATTTGATTTATATACATTTTCGAGAATACAAACAAATAAAATTATTGAAGACGTTTATTTGAAACTTTTAATTGTTCTATAGTTTTGAAAACTCGATCGACCTCGAAAAAGCAAAGGAAAAAAAAAGAAAGAAAAAAAAAACAAGAAAAGGAAAAGTAAAAGAAAGAAAAAAGAAAAGTCAAATCGAGAAATCTTGTTAACCGTTAGCAAGCAGAGTACTTTAGTCGTAGAAACCGTACTTGTAGTTTAAGAATCCTCTAACGATGTCAGTATGAGAGGCCACTCAATCACGTTAAAATCAAAATGAACCAACGTGGTAAACATTATTTAATACGAAGAATTTATTTAAATAAGATAGATACTGGCTGGATTGTTATTAGAAAGAAATATTTTTATTATCGAATCGTTTGTGGTATATAAAAAAAATTGCATTTGCCTGATCATACCTTGTAACACCGATATCTTTCGATTGCATGTACCCTATTAAATTGATGGAAAAAAATTTTTTCGAGCAGAAAGTGAAAGAAGACAAATGGTAAGCGAGGATTTTGGTGCGCAAACAAGCAAATCAGTCTGATCGATACGATCTTTGTGATCGGACACCGCAAACGATCAGCATAATCCTGTAACATGTAGCTACTTCGTAGAAATTCGATCGGTCGATCTTCGAAGATTCTATCTAATCCGTTTAAACGGTCTCGCTTAGCTTTCAAACGATGCATTAAGCCGATGCACCGGAGCGTTTCAATGTCGTGAGATGTATATGTGTGTGTTTATATATATATATATATATATATATATATATATATATATATATATATGTATATACACATAATATACAATAGTTGACACACAAACGATTATAGATATAGGCTAGATAGAATTTTCCTAAACTAAAAACGATATTAAAAGAATACGTGTATCTCTGAAGCGTGAAAGAATTCGGAATCGATTGTTCACGCTTCTTTTCAATGCGAATGTTATAGAGACCTATATTTTACTATGTTTAAAATCAATTAATAAAATATTTTATTCGAGAAGCAACAAAAATTTTAAATGATGAAAACAATTAGAAAAAATACAGATTTTAAGCGAACGTTTGGAATGATATTTTTTAAAAAGAACTTCCATTGATCTCCCGGGGGAGAAAATAAAATTAAATTAAATAAAATTAAATATATTATAAAAAGTTAGGAAAAATAATAGACGATTTTAAAATGATATCTAACCGAACGGAACGTGCGGCCGAGTATATTCTGATTTATATATTTCTAGACTAGAAGGTATAAAAGCAGAAGCGTCATGTTATCGACGGCTCGAGTCGACTCATTTATTTTGTTTAATTTGAGATCTCGACGACGGGACGTCATCGTAGATCGGAGATCACTCGGACCGATCATTGTCGGGGATCACGGCGCCTCGATCGGTAGGCGTTCACCGATAACGAGAGACCTACGCTACGCTACGCAAGAAAGAAAGGGAGGAAGATTTCAAAACGCAGCCGCATACGTAATGGTCCCCGGTAGAAAAAAAGATTTCCGGAGATGGAGTCTCTCAGCCGGAGACAGGTGAATGTTTGACATTCCTCTCGTGGCCTCCGCTTTCGACGCCCTAGCCGCACCCGATCATCGCCTTCTGTTTTCTCGATACCCCTCCTCGATCCCTTCTCGATCCCTCCTTCGATCGACGCGCGACAAACGTTTCCTTCGTTCGAGAGAACGCAAAACTCGTTTCAACTTTTTCCCTCGTAGAATGTTTATCTTCGGTTTCGTCGCACTTGAAATTTCGATCACTTTCCAATTTTCTACTCATAGAAATTTTGGAATATATTTTAATCTTATTTTAACCACGCTTCAAAAAAAATTTTCGTTATATCGTTCATAATTCAAAACAGATATTGTGATTATGTCAAAAAGCACATGATTATTGTATATCGCCGCGTAAAGAATCTATATCTTTAAAACGTCAAGAGCTAGTTCAAAATATAATTAGTAAATGGGGATCCTATCGGTGACTGTCCGTCTATTCCTCGTGATAAAAATTTGGACATCGAAATTTAATTAAACGTCTTTTTAACGATAGATATTCTTCAATTCTTCCCACTAAAATAAATCTACATATAGGGCTCGTATAGAAAGTTGAAGCGTGATTATGTCGAGTAAAGCTCTACGTTACCTTGGACAAATAAATCCAAGAAGATTAATGATTTCGAATGACTTTGAACATTTTTTTTTTGATAGTTAAAGAAGTGCCGAGCGATTAAAAAAGAAATTATTTTAATTCCAACGGATTAAGATATGTCTGAGGGACAAAAAAAAAATAATAAAAGAAAAATATTGTTAGGAATAAGACGATGACTCTTAATCGTTTTTGTTGGTATATAAACAGAAGCTACCAACATCATCATCACTGCCGCCGCCGCCGCCACCGCCGCCGCCGCCACCACCACCACCACCACCACCATCACTACCACCACCACCATCACTACCACCACCTATGAGAGAGGGTATTCGAGACGAAGACAATTTATTCTGAATTTGCCGGGTAAGATCCGAGGACCCTTTTTGAAGCACGTGCATTCTCGGTCGAATACTGCCTGGACCATTGCTCGTTCGCGGTAAAATAATATTGTCCGACTAAATTCTTCTTCCACCTCCGCTTCGCCTTCCATCGTGGTACGCAACGTGAAACAAGACAAACTATTTCGAGATCTTTGCTTTTAAGTTTCTTTTATTTATTTATGCGAGCAGCACGATCGAATGACGTTAACTGTTATTATAGCGACATTTTCCTCCTGTCTATTCTCCCTTTGTCACCTTTCGAAGAATTACAAACGAGAAAACTACCCATTCTATTATTGACATCTTCAAATCGTAAAACTCCATTTACTCGGCATGATTTTTCTTCAAATTCAATTATCGAAACGTTAGATAAATCATTGTCGATCCTCCATGATAAAATGAAAGACGTCCCACCCTGGATTAGAAGAATTTTAGCTAATTCCACGTTTTACGATTTCAATCTGAAGCCATTCGGTGCTGTGAAAAATAAAAAGTAAGGATAAATCCAGGACGTGTGGGTGCTGTTAAAGGGATTCACGTAAGGCCAGGAACACGAATGCGTGTCTTGCATGAATCAAAAGTGTCTCGATTCATTGTATCGCGGCTTCAGGATGATCAGTTGCAGTAGGAAGCCATTGTGTTGAGGAGGAAGCCTTTACAAAAACGTTCCATCGACCTTCTTCCGTAGCATCGCAAAGGGACTTAACGCCATTGTAAGACCACCCCGAAAATAAGAAAGAAAGAAAAGAAAAAGAAAAAAAAAAAAGTAGAAGAAGAAGAAGAAAAAAAGAAGATTCGTACGTGTCCGTCGCTACTTCAGCGTAAGAACAGCAACTAGCTCGCTTTTATCGTAAAACGCAACTCTCGCAATTACGATTCGTAACACGTCTGCGTCTCCCTCGTGTTGCCTCAGCAAACATCGCTAAAACTTTGCGTGTGGTCGAAAACACGAATCCTCTCATGCAAGCGCACCAGACTGAAGGATCCTCGAAATGAGTAACGGGGATTCCTCGAGACTTCCCCTCTTTAATTACGTTGCGAATCTCTCTTAGAGGCCATCTTCTCGAGTATCTTAATTTAAAATACTTTCACGAATCCGATGCTTTGCTCCTATTTTCATACTTGGCATTCTGTTAAAAGACCAAGAGCTCCGGATGACTCGTCAATTGCAATTTATTTAAAATATCTTATAAGAGAAGCGAGGCGATCTAAAACGATGTATCTAAAATATACGTAACTTTTTTTTTTTTTCTTTTCGAAAAAAATTTATTTTACGGATAACAGCTCGAGAGAAACGCAATTCGAAAGCATTTTCCATTAGCCGGAAAATTTGGACATGTGAGACAAGCCGAAGTACGAGCAAACAAGGACGTCGGCAAAAATCAAAGGCTGATTCTTCGTCCCGATATTGGCCCATCGTTTCGTTCGACGGACTAGATGAGATCTGCAAGCTCACGCCCTTGAAAATCCTTTCGAATGGTGGCCCGGCGATCCTTCTTTCCTCTTTTTCTGCTATTGGTCTCTTTCAGCTTTGCCGTACCGTGTTGTTGTTGTAACACATTTCGTACCGCAAGCAAACAGAGTTCCTCGTTTTGTCTGATAATTGCTGGAAACACCAGACGAGTGTTTGCAGTGTCATCGAGGTTCGGTCACACCTCGCAGTGCGACCACTTCCCAAAGCTTCTCTTCTTCACCTTACCGCTGCTAATGTGTATCTTACGTTCTTATAAAAGTAACTTTGTTCAAAAGCTCTCTTCGACTTTGTCTTCAAAGCTCGCTTCGATTACGTTTTAAACGCTTTACAAGTCGTTCTACAACTGGTTCTCTCGGTAAGATTGCATTTTAAAGAAGAAATATTCGCACTTTAAATCGTTTCATAACTTAATTCCAAGGCTGATAATTATACTAAGATTCCATTTGATAAGATTATATGTGCGAAATGCATTCTCTGTATCTCTAATGTTTCAAGATCGTCTGAACCACCAGAGAATCATGTAGATTATAATGGAAGATATTATTGAAAATAGTTTCAAGCATAATAATTACAAGATTAAGTGTACTGTCTCTAATCCAGTTTTGTTCATTTAATTAAATTGCGTTGCATGTATCGCATTAGTGCTTCCATCTATGTGTGAATGTAAATGTATAAATATCTAGGAAAGCCGCCGAGTGGTATAAAGAAGTAATAAAATATGAATTCACGATTACTTAAATAAATATGATTACGCATAAAGAGAATTCTTGCTTAACAAAAAAAAAAAAAAAAAGAAAAAAAGAAAAAAAAAATAATGTATCAATAGATATATATCGTTAAAAACACTTAATTCTAATTTATCTTTCAATTTATGTACAAGTCTTACAGTTAAGTCACCAATTAAATATTAATTGTTGCAGTCCAATACAAAGTTCCTTGAATAGGATATTTCATTAATTTAAAATTAATTAATTTTCTTCCAATTGTTCAGGCTCCATTTCGTCGTTAGACTCATGCATTTCTTCGTCCTCTTCCACCGTCTCTTCCAATTTCTTTCTTTCCTTAAGTCCAGCGGCTGGTGATCTTATCAACGACAAATCACGCTGTACTTCCTTAATATCCCTTTCTTGTTCCAACGTACGACCCTTACGCAAACGCTGCAAAATATGTAGATTTTGTCTCCTCTGTCTAATGTTTTCAACTTTCTTGATAGCTTCCACAGTCTTTGTCCATAATTCTCTGTTGTATTTCACTGGGACATTTCTCCTCTTCTCAAATTCGAATGATGGATCTATTGCCAATTCTTTGCCGACAGTCTTTCTATAAGCTTTAGTCCATTTAACCTTTCTCGGATTCTTTTTCTTTTTGAATGCCGCGTGACATTTCGATCGACAAAATCTAAAAATCTATTGATTATAATAATTATAAAATTGTTAAAAAATCATTCACGATTATATCGAAATAGAAACACGTGACATAACCTTAAAAGTTTATCAAAGCACATCAATTCGATCGCTATTTATTACAAAGAAATAAAATGACAATTTTCTAATGTTACTTACTTTACAATCGTTTCTAACAAATTGAATTCCATGTCCCGGATAAATTCGAGACGAGCAAAAATAACACGTTTCAATACGCATTTTGCGCGGTGACGATAACCAAAGGCTTGCACATGGACGCGTAATTTATTTCGTCACATAGCCACCTAGTGTTACATTGACGAACTAACTCTACACTTTTTCGGAAGATAAATTTGTTTAAAGAAAGATAAGAATTTTCTTTTCTAAGAAAGGCATTTATATAGGAAAGAAAGACTTTGATTAGACTATCTATATTAGATATATGCAAATATATATTTAAATATAATAATATTTAATATTATATAGTATTTAATATTTTGAATTAAATGATATTTGTATCACTACGAATTTCAACTTACGGTTTCTTCCGGTTTACCTTTAAATATAATTATGGCCGATACAGAAATGGCGGGTAAGAAGAAAAGTCACATAGGAAAAGGGCGAGTGCTAGTTGATAACGAATTATTCGAAAAACCTATATTTTATTGCGATTTTTACTGAAAATGGTTCATAAGACTTCGAACGATGATAAAAATGTAATTAAAAATGTGGAAAATGAAAGTGTACATGTTATTGAAAGGAAATCTGTCATATACAAAGATTTATCTTCTACCTTGGTACAAGAGATAAGTGATTACTCGAAACAATTTGCACATATTTATGCTGCTAGACTTGCAGAACTTGGAGAAGTTTTGACATCAAAAGTACATGCAAAGTGGAGTAAGATAATGATATTTTAATTGATTTTAATGCTCGTCTAGCTGACAACTAATGTGTATTTTATTTTGTCCATTAGAAAATGTTCAACTCTTAAAATTAGCAGATTTAGAGGATTTCGAGGGAGAAACTTGTATTATAATTGGAACATTATACAAACATCAGCAATGGAAACCATCAATTTTACAAGAACTTAGCGAAGAACACCAATTGTCATTACCACCTACAAGATCTGATTATTGTTCTGAAAAGGATCAAGTATTCTTAGAAGATGAAATGTTACGCATTAAATTAGTTGGTGAATTAGTTGACCTTAAGGATATTGTCACTGGTATAGTTTGTGCTGTATTAGGAAGCGAAGAGGAGGATGGTACATTTCATGTAAGTTTAAACACATATAAAAAAAGTAATATTATGTCATGTTATTATAAAAGAAATTTTCTCTCATATATTACATTATTTAGGTGAAAGATTGGTGTTTCCCAGGTTACGTACCTAAAACTTTACCAACTTTAGATTCAAATTCAAATGGAAAGATCGTTCTAATATCTGGATTAAATTTTATTCAAAATTCGGATGACATAGCGATAGAATTATTACGTGAATGGATCTGTGGTATGGCTGGCAATGTAAAAGCTCAGAAGGAGGAAGCTTCTGTCGTACGACTTATCATAGCAGGTAATCCAAACGACATGTAATACTTTTTCTATTACATTTTGTAATTAAAAATTACATTATTAACGTTGTTACAGGCAATGCTATTAGCAATAATGATAAGAAACACACTCATAAAAATATATTAGAGTTAAAAGTAGAAGAGAGTATGCATGCAAAAGAAACTATCAATGCAACGCAAAAATTAGATGATTTTCTTTCTGATATTGCAAAATGTTGCTGCGTAACATTAATACCAGGCCAATATGATCCTACTAATATGATGTTGCCACAAAGACCGCTTCATCCTTGTTTGTTACCTAAATCATCCAGGTATCATTTAAAGAGTATGAAAAATTATAAATGAAAATTATGCGTGACCTTCGAAACTTGATCAAATCTATCCCCTTTAGACTTGGAAGTTTTCAAGGTGGTTCTAATCCTTGGATCAGTCAAATTGATGAACGTATGATAATGGGATCAAGTGGTCAGCCTTTTGAAGATTTTATGAAAGCTACTGGTTCTAAAGATATTTCTCCAATAGAATGGTTAGAAAAATCTATTATTTGGAGACATATGTGCCCAACTGCACCAGATACATTACCAGCCTATCCATTTTATAAGAAAGATTTATTTATAATGAAGCATCGTCCTGACATATATTTCACAGGGAATGCCAATAAATACGAAACAAAATTGTGGAAAGGTATTTATTATTTTTGCACTAAAATTTTTATTAAAAACTAAATCCTAAGACTAATTTATACTTTCACTTACAGATGAAAAAAATCAAGCGATCAGGCTAGTCTCTATTCCACAATTCTCGACATCTCATGCTGCTGTTTTAATAGATCTGAAAAGTCTTGATACAGAACTGATTCATTTCGGAATAGAATGAATAAGATTTTTGTATACATTTCTCTTTTCGTTTAACACATATTATTTACAATTTGTGACAAAAATTATATGTACAATTATTCATAAATTTATATATTTTTAAAGGATTTTAACAGTAAAAAAACATTGAAAAAAAATTCTCCGAGGTGATTGAAATTCCGTCAGTAGATAAAGTCGGTATATCGTTGACCGTCCACTCCGTAGATATAGTCGATAATTGATTGACGTAATTGTTTCGTAGACACGTCGGTAATTCGTAATTGGATTTGGAGATGTATGCATAAAATTTTAATACGTGCATAAATTTTGTTCTCCTTGTTATCTTACATTATAAACAAATGTTATCGTTATTTTTAATTCGATACATGAAATGTAACAATGTATCGTATGCTATACGATACGATAAATCAACAATCACGTATATCGATTACAAGACGCTAATTAAATATGTCAATTATAGCTCGTTTCTCTTCTACATAAATTCTACTCTGTTTGTAAGGTCTTACAGTCCGATAATATCGGTCGTTCGTTTCTAACGTGATATACGCGTTTAGCTTATATTTCTTTAACGTTAAAAATATGTGGAATTATATTTTGCTATCTTCCGTGGTACTGATGTCATCGTTATTTTATCATTATCAATTTAATAAACCAATCGGTATCATCGAAAATCCAAATAGCTATTATGATTATATAGTCGGTGAGTACGTGCAATTTTATTAATATATCTTGCTAATACGAATATGTTTTTTGACTACTCGATTTAATAGAAATAAAAAGAAAAAATGTTCTCACGAATTGACAATTCGTTCTGTCGAATAAACGAGTTCACATCAAAAGTTATATCAAATGGTAGAATGAGACGCATTTTGCCATACGACGATTGTTGACAATGCTACGTAGAAATGATATGTATATTGTAAAAAAAAAAAAAGAAATGAATCTCACCGCGACTCAATATCGTTGATCAAACTTCTATCGTCCTCGTTTATCAGTTAAATTTTTTGCTTTTGCAAAGTTGGCGCTGGTACGACTGGTTGCGTGATAGCATCGCGTCTATCGGATTTATCAAATACCACGGTGTTGCTCGTGGAAGCGGGTGGTTATTTCAATTGGATGTCGGCGATGCCGTTGATGGCCCCGTTGATGCAAGGGACCAGTTTAGATTGGGCTTATAAAACGGAGACACAGAAGTTCTCATCGCTTGGACTTTGGAGCCACGTAACGAGTCTCTAATGAAATTTATATAAATTTTATAGAAAATGATTCGTTCTGATTGATTTGATATTAAATTTGAATATATCGAACTCGTAATATTTTATGATATAATTAATATTTAGCAACAATCGTGGCCAAGAGGTAAAGGATTAGGTGGCAGTGGTCAAATTAATTATCTCGTTCACTCTTTCGGGAGGTCCGAGGATTATGAAACGTGGCCTAAGGGATGGTCCTACGGTGATTTGATACCGTATTTTAAAAAGGTCACGGAAACCATGAGCGTGACTACCTTTTCATCGAATGATCCATTAATTGCGGCCTTTATGGAGGCCGAACTTTCAATCGGATCTAACGACGCTACCTTTCAAAAGGGCAGTTATACCGTCAAACGTGGAAATCGATGGAGTACCTATCACGCGTATTTACAGAATACTATAAAAAATCGCAACAATCTTCATGTATTAATGAACACTCTGGTTACAAAGGTAAATCCAATGGAATAATTCGCAAAATTATTTTCTTTGTAAATCCTTTTCTTCTTTTTCAGATATTATTCAATGAAACCAAAACGATCGGCGTAGAAGTTCTTTATAAGAATGCTTCGCGTGGAAAAATAAATGTGAGAAGAGAAGTTATACTTTGTGCCGGTACCGTCAATACCGTCCAATTACTTTTGCTTTCTGGTATAGGACCGAGAAAAGATCTCAACGAGTATCAGGTATTATTTCAATCGTTAATATGTATGAAATTTCTAACGCGAATAAATCATGAGATCGAATTGCGCGTTATTTTCTTTATATAATATATAGCCAATAAAAGAGATCGACATAGCTTCCCTATAAATGATTAATTTTTATAGATACGAACGGTGAGCGATCTACCAGAAGTCGGAAAGAATCTTTTCGATCATATGAATGTTCCAGTATATGTAAATCTCAAAGCATCGGTTAGTCTGACTTTAAGAAAGATGCAATCGATTCAAGAAATAGCCAAATACCTTCTCTTCGGAACCGGTAATTAAAATATACTTTTAATCCAGATCTTTTTCTTTTTTTTTTTTTTTTTTTTATTTTTTTTATTTTTTTGACTCGCCAACGGAATAATCCTTTTGTATTTTGGTTTATTTTTTACAAAATAAGGATCTCTTTCGTCGAATCGTGTTTTGGCTACCGCACGCGTAAACAATAGCGGTATTATTCTCTTCGGCGTGGCTTCCACCGATGAGAAATTGTTGAAGGACATTGCTAATTATCAAACCGAGACTTTCAGATCGCTCTTTCCTGCTTACAACGACACTGGCCACGAAGGTTTCCTCTATCTCGCTACTTGCCTTCAACCGAAAAGTCGTGGAAACGTCACCTTAAAATCACGAAGTATTTTTGATCAACCAAAAATCGATCCGGCTTATCTTCAAAACGACGACGACGTTCATTGTACTCACAAGGGTACGCAATGAATCAACTCAAGGAAAAATATAAATGAATTTTACGTTATAACGATGTATTATAAAATACGAGACGATGTTCGCAGCGATAAATTTGGCATTGGAGACTTTAAATTCGCGAAAATTTCGTGAGTACGGTGCTCACGTTCATTTACCCGATTTCGAGGAATGCCGACACTTCCGACAAGATTATAGAGATCGGGATTATTCCGAATGCGTTATGAGAATCGGTGGAGTTACCAGTCATCATCCCTGTGGTAGTTGTAGAATGGGCACCGACGATAACGCGGTGATCGACGATAAATTAAGGTGAAGCGAAAAACATGTTCATGCCTGAAAAGAATAATGCAAAAAGAAAAAGAAATTGCTACAAAGGATATTTTTTCATTTCTTTTTTTTTTTCTGTTCAGAGTAAGAGGTGTAATCGGTTTGCGAATAATGGACGCCAGTATATTGCCTTCGCCAATTTCCGGTACACCGAATTCCGTCTTGATAGCGATGGCGGAACGTGCCTTTGACGTAATCACTGAAAGAACAAGTAATTAAAAAATTGTTTCGATCGTTCATCGAAAATCTTCAAAGGTGCTCTCTGTTTAAAAAGGATCTTCTCGAGGGGCTAGAAAACAAGGAATAACATGGGATCAATCGAAAATAGTCTCACTCTCTTGACTTTCATGTTTTTTGTAATTTATAATTAATGGTAAAGTTTTTTTTTCTTGTTTTACAGTAATCGAACAGTTATTAATAGTCTAATTAAATTTCGATTAATTTTATACAAACAAAAAGGATTGATGAGTTACACTCAACGACGAAACACGAACCTCTGCCACCTTCCTGCTCTCTCTCTCTCTCTCTCTCTCTCTCTCTCTCTCTCTCTCTCTCTCTCTCTCTCTCTCTCACTCTTTCTTTCGGGGATGCGGGTGGGGTGGCTCGGGGGTAAAAGAAGGAAAAGAAAACGATCGTGATTACTGAACGTTTCTTCGCGTTTGAAGGAAGAAAGCTTCCTTTTATCTTTCACCCTAGTGTTCTCTTTCGCAAGGTATTTGACAATGGCAGAGCTTCGACGTACATTTTTTTACCTTTGTTTCTCTCTCTCTCTCTCTCTCTCTCTCTCTTTCTATCTCTCTATATCTATCTTTCTCTCGCTCATTCATACTAATTCTTTCTGAAACGCTCGAACTTTATCACGTCAACTCAAATTTCACCTTATTTCTTTCTTTGCGTAATAAAACGCAATTCCATTCTGTTAAATTAACTCTCTTTCACTTTGTTTCACTTTCTCTTTTTTACACTTACATACAACATTACAACAAATCCAGAAATTACACCCGCTCTGTCTCTCGTATAAATAAAATATCTGTAATAATATAACGCGAAGCTCATTGCGCTGACATTTTCGTAGAACTCAATCGAGACTTTCGTACGATTCTTTGTCTCCGAGCCCCCCTTTTTCTCAACCCCTATACGAAGATGTTCGCGTGTACGGAAATCCTTTGAAAGAATTATCAGGCGGTCACGATCGTAGCTTTTTCGCCAATGAAAACGTGACGTCGATATATCCCTTTTATCCTTCCCTTTTCGAAGTACCCCGATCCACCCCACAACCCAAATCCCACGTGATCTCTCATTTTTAATAATCGTAACGTAAACTTAATCTTTCAACTTAAAAACAAAATTGGTAACCACGTATCCCCGGACAAAACACACCCGACGCTTCTCCTTCGGCTCTCTTTCGAAGAAAGAAAAGAGAAAGAGAGAGAAAGAGACTATCATATCGTTTTATCGATCTATGAGTACGTATATGTCTCTCTCTGTCTCTTTTTCTCTCTTCCTCTCTCTCTCTCTCTCTCTCTCTCTCTCTCTCTCTCTTTTTCTCCTACTCTTTTTCTTTCTCCCTCACTTTTTCTCTTTCGCGTTCTATACACGCGAAGTAGGAAGGAAATCAAAAACGGAAGAAGAAAGATAAAAGAAGAAGAAGAAGAAGAAGAAGAAGAGAAAAAATTAGAAATAATAACGCACCGAGATATTCCGGTCATTTTACGTCCGGAAGAAAATTACATTGAAATCGAAATAATCGACATATAATTCTCCTCGATATTGATTATTCGAAGAACATCGATTTGATTAAAGCGGTATCCTATGCGGAATAGACTCGCCTTTTTTTTTTATATCTTCTCCCTTTTTAACTTTTATTCTTATCGTCGTCTCGAAACGATCTTTTCGAACGTTTCATGAAAATCGACTATACGTAGTTATCTATTTCTTTTCATTTAAAATTTCATAAGAACGAAAAGTCGCTTCGAAACGAGCAATTATGTTTGACGTATGTGTGTCTCTTTGTATCGTGTGTGCCTGCATATATGTGAGTGCGAACGTGGAAAGAAAACTCTTTCAATCTCAATCTCTCTCTCTCGCTCTCTCT